GTGGCGGTGCAGATAACTTCAACTGCCTCAAGACATGAGGACCAAGCTGCATGGACTATTATGTTCCGCTGCATGGCCATCTCAACTTTCTTTGTCTTGTGAATAGGCGACAGGCGTAAGGGGCTGGCCCTCAGGCTTTTTCAACATAGAGAAGCCGTCGATTGACTATTCTAAGCTGAAGAAGGAAGAAAGGGCTTTATAAGAGTGGGCGCCTAACAGCGGTGAAGCAGACCGGGTTAGGCGGTGTACCGCGGCAACGTAGTGGGTCCAACGGAGCTGGATCTCGGTGACAACTGCTCCGGCAAAGCCGGAGATATCAATCCGGGCTCTAGCCCGTGACAACAAGATCTCCCTGAGGATGCGTCAGCGTTGACCCTCGCTAGGCAGATTGTATTATGAGAGCGGGATGAGACCTTCCGCCGATGTACTGGGCACTTCGGGCCCCTGCAGCTATAAATCATAGAACGGGCAGGCAAACATACCAAAACGATAGAAAGCGGACGTCCATGTGCCAAACTCAGCAGCTGTCAGTTACCTCTGGTTATCGGTCACTTTAGGTGCACAGTTGCGTATCTTCTACCTACTTTCTTGTCCTCCCGCTTCCCAGTCAGTTTCAGTGTGTATGTGTTTGTGATGCTAAGATGCAGCAGTCTGTTGGCTCACTGTGTGTCAGCTTTCTGGCTGCTGCCATCTGAAGCAACAAATCCATTTCAAACATTTGTAATAAAATCCATAGTATGCTTGTTCACCAGTTATAAATTGCCGACATTGCAAAGGAAATCACCGTCCCCATGGAACGTTTGCTGTTTGTCTCAATTTCCCTATGACTAATAAACAAACCTAAAAACTTGTCACCCTCAGTCAGTCTTATAATACTCCTTCTTTTTAAATGCTTTTAGGTGTCGCCCAAAACATCTATATAATAGCATAGCTCGATGTTTTGAACAATTCATACTATTCAGTTCCCTCTTAAGAAAACAGACTAGAAAGAAATCCAGTGCCTTCATTAGCACCATCATAGCGAACCACACACTCTAATTACGATGCATTGGGTATTCCAAACCCTCTTTCTTCTTCTCCTTGCCCTTCATTCCTTCATCCTCCATTTCCAGTCCCAGCAGACTTCGGTTAAGGATAAGATCAGACAGAACAGAGGGATAGCTAGCTTTGACATTTTCCATGCAAACTCACTTCGCAACCGCCTACAACTCCGCGCAGGCCCCAACGCCCGCCTTGTCACGACGTTCGGCATCCAAAACTCCTTTACAACTACGGATGTGGCCCAACATAAGGAGTTCCTCCGACGCGCTGTCCAAACCATCAACAGCGCCGATGAAGCCACATGGTGCAGAGTCTGGACACTGGGCAACGAAACGACGAGCGCGTTGCTACGTATCAGCGAGAACACAGTCAGTGTTGAACGCATCGCCCGCATCTTATGTTTTGATGCCGTGCTAGAGCTTCTTTTTAAGCATACGCGTCTCAAGCCATACGACATTGACCACGCGGACCGCGCTACAGAACTCATCAACATTCTTTGGCAACAGTCTAAGAAGGGGTTGAGTGAGCAGACGCCGATCACAAAAGAGCACACATTGGATGCTTTGCACGAAGCACTACGTAAGCTGGTGTCTGGCGGAGAGGATTCAAATCTGGCACTCATAATGCCAGCTTATGAGACGCTATGGCGGGTCGTCCTATTAACATACATTCATGTCGCCTTCCGCTACATGGATACCGCCTCAACGAATCTGGTTGAAGAAGTTGTAGAGATTGTGTCTCTTAATCGCGGGGCAAGAGAGCAACTGCATCCGACTGTTGGGCATTTTGCTGAGGTTTGTGATTTGCCTATTATCGCTCTCGCGGCGTCTCAGCAGGTTTTAAAGAGCATCAAATGTTCGGATCATAACAATAAGCGGTTTGAGCTAATAATCAGACATATTAGGAAGCTCTTCGATTGTATCCGCCTACAAAGCGCATTTACCGGGCGTCTGCCGTTGGTGCAGTAGCAGCTGATGTTGAGTCTATGCATCATGACTTTCGAATCTGGGGTCATGATGCTCTCAATTTCCGTCCTAGCCGCTTCAGTAAATTGACACAGGACCAGAAGGACGCGTACATGCCCTTCGGCGTAGGTAGGAATGTTTGTCCCGCTATCAACGGTTTCGGCAGGAAGATGATTTCGTCCTTGGTGGTTGTGCTTCTTACACGGCTCGGTACGAGAGCTTCAGGGGCGCAAGTCTGGTTTAGCGACGACAAGTTGGATCAAGACAGTACAGCCCCATTGCCAACTGGGCGAAATGACGCGGTGAAGTGGGTTGTAAGTCCAGGTGGTGCCAGCTAAGGACTTTTGCAGAAGGCTGCGGTAGCCCACTGATATTTCGTACAATGACAAACTTATGGTTCGAAAGCAAAAGGCAGTGGAGGTTATCATGATTTCGGCAGCATATTGGAAAGCTCTACTTGTTGCACCTAGAAAAGTGTAAAGACGAGGACTAGTTTATTTGTATTCACAGGGCAAGCTTGTATCACACGGCCGAGCTCTAGATTGGTTTGATAATTTGTAGTCTTCGATTATATGGTGCAGTGTTAAGTAGATAATACTTCCTGGAATAATTATGGTGTCTCGTAGCCCTCTGTGGTAGCTTCCAGCGCGTCCGAAGAATAAGTATCCACTGTCCTTCACCTATGTATCGATCGCGTTGAATATGATATGGCTGGTTTAGAGCTTCAGCAATTCAGAATATAGGATTCGTCAATACAACTTTTAACAGCTGTAGTTATATGTGTTATGAAAGCTAGCTGGACCCCTGTAATACCTGTCCCTGTGACTTGTGCTAACGCAGGCTTCAATACAGGAAGCTTCCAATGGCGTAATTACCCTTCCCGAAGACGCGCCTTGTGTTATCGACATAATGATCCAATACTTCTACCGTCTCGATTATCGACAATCCCTCAGCTCCGAGAACCTTTCACAGTCGCCAGAGCAACAGCAGAACGACTCCGCAGACGTCTCCTGTCTACTTCTCCACGCTAAGGTCTACGCAGTTGCAGAGAAGTATGCTGTTAGCGGTCTCAAGGACCTTGCTGTAGCCAAGTTCAGAACTGCTGTGACACAATCTTGGGATACGGCTGATTTTCTCGACGCTGCTAGCGAGGCCTACACCTCCACTATCGACAGTGATCGGGGCTTCCGAGACGTTGTCATCGAGGCATTCGCTGAGCACAAGGGCATACTCGATCATGAAGAAGTCAAGGCGGTCATCAAGGGACTTGGATCACTTGCCTATGATCTCCTTATTTACTTCCACCACAACGGGAAACTTCGGTGTTGATGGCAGGATGCTCACCAGGCAACAACATTCTTAACAAATTTCAGCAACACGAGATAATGATGATGTTCGCTGTCTCTATTCTTTGCAAACTATTTGTGTGCTCCTATTAAGCAACCCTTGTCCCATCTTTCTCACGCGAAACACAGGCAGTGGTTATCCAAATCTTAGGCCTCACTTTCTGGTCGGGCGAAACATTAGGTTGATAGTCCAATGGTGATATTTGTCCTAAGAACCGGAATGTATGTCAAGCAAGCTTTGGTCTCATGCCTTCGTGCTCTCTCCTGCGCTCGTACTCTTATCAAGATCCACAGGATCGACCTCGTCTCCCATGGTCACTGGCTCCGACACCTTCGTCTCCTGCACGCTCGTCGGCACCCAGTTCATCTCATCTCCGCGCATGTTCATCACATCTCGGGTGCTAGTATCGGGAGTCAATTTATGAGCAATAATATCATACTTGACACTACTCTCTGTTCCTTGGAGCAGGCTATTCGTATCCTTCAGTGTGGGCTGGCAGTCCGTCATTAAGGTATCTCCCTCTACATCCACTACGGCCACCCCCTTCTCCACCTGCGTCTCGTCCGTAATAACTTGTGGCTGGTAATCAGGCATCAAGATATCTCCCCTTGCATCCCAAATTCCCACATCTTTATCCATCTTTGTCTTGTACGCAGTACCCTGGGCATCATCATCAATCTCCATATGTTCAGGATAGACCATCTGAGCTGACGACTGCAAAGATCATCGTCCTCGTTCCATCGTGGGCTAAAGTTAGATTAGGGTCGGTTCCTACTTCTGAATAGTCAGCTTATGCTAGGGCGGCCTTGTCATGGTCGCTGCGATACCAACTCACTAGTTCCCTTGATCAAGTCCAGCGATGATTGAAGTGTGTTAAAACAAGATAACTCGCAGCGAATGCATGCTTAGTAAGTTAGGTGGCCTCCACCAATGACAAGTATCTCAAGTTAGGCCATCGCGTCGCGAGATACATGCCCAGTGTCTTTCCGCGTCTGCGGGCGCCATTTTCACAAGTGTCGGGGCCGGTTCTGACCCCACTTGTACGCTCGGCGAATAGAAAGTGGCTACAGACCTAGGCTCCCTTGCTCTAATGTGATAATACAGCGCAATCAACGCGTCGACGCGTCTTTTTATTTTATTTTTATGGAAGCAAATAGTCCGTGCATATGGGGCCTCCTCAGGAAACCTCAAGGTAATAGCGGTCGTGCAAGTTGGAGCCTTCTAACATGCTCCAACTTTTTCGTATGCAAGTGTAATGAGCGAGTTTTCTTAATTTCAGCTGGACCAAGCTTTCCGACTGCAACAATGACGGTACACAGGATAGATCCCGAGGGCGACGTCATACTAGTCCTCCAGACTAGAAACGAACCATTTGCCCCGTGGGAAGAGCTCACAACTACCTTCCCAACACGAGAGACGGGGGAATGCAGCCATTTGACGCGTTGCTTCCGTACGCTCGACCCTAGCTACGTTTTTGTCACTACCGAAAAATGTACCACTAGCGAGATCTCAACTGATGCGGCGCCTGCAACGACCGATGCTGCCGAGGTTTTGGCTGATGAAGCGCCCCCAACTGCCGACACTACCGAGACACAAGTTGAGAACAACGAAGTAGCAACACAGCCTCACGATGCCACAGAGGAACACATGGTTACAGGCGTTCTTCCGCTGGAACATGAAGAAGTTCGGCTGCTAGTCTCTTCCAGACATCTAAGACTAGCTTCTGAGTACTTCCTCAAGCTTTTAGCGGGCTCTTGGAAAGAAACATCCCTGCCTAACGCTCTTCCGATCATTGAAGCACAGGATTGGGATGTGGACGCCTTTCTAATCTTGATGAAAGTCATACACGGACGGTTGGACGACGTTCCAACGGTTATAAGCCTTGAGATGGTGGCCCAGGTTGCAGTTCTTGTCGACTACTACCAATGCCACGAAACCATGAAGTTCGCTTCGAAGCTTTGGTTGGAGAGGTTGAGCAAACAAGTGTTGAACGCTTGTTCTAGGCGCCTAGTTCTAAAGATATTTGTTGCCTGGGTCTTCGATCATCAAAGATTGTTCGCAAAGGCTACAAAGATGGCCATTTTGACCTGCCAGGGAGTTCTTCCGACGCTGGGCCTTCCAATTCCGGACGCCATCATTAGTAAGTTTTTCCAAAATGCACACCTATTACTAGCACAAGGCTCACAAGCAACAGAAGAGATAGAGCGACAGAGACAAAAAAGCTTGCGCGAGATTGCCGACACCTTGCACAGTCTCCATGCATATTTAAAGGGGAGAGCAGGATGCTCAGAAGCATGTTCCTACATCCTATGCGGTGCCCTCGCCGATGCTATGTATACCTCCGGTTTCCTAGCGTTGGAATCAACAGACTTTCCCGGCCAGAGCGTGGTGTCTTTATCCAAGGTTTCACGAGAGATCGAGACACCTCAGTGGCATCTGAGTAACACTAGCGATAAAAAGGCCTGCGCCCTATCAACTTTTCTTCGTCCATGTATGGATCGCATTGAATATGATCAGGTTGGCCTAGAGCTTCAGCAGTTCAAAAGATAGGGTTCGTCAATACAATTTGAACAGCTGCAGTTGTCTATGAGGATGACCTGAGCCTAGGTTGAGTGAGCCGTTCCAACCTAGCCAGAGCCACAGTCACAGAAGGTCTGCCACACCCAACGAGGCACAAATGGCTCCGCTTCAACTCAAGTTTCATCTTATTCTTCTAATCTTAGAGCTAACAAAGATAAAGACGGCGGCTACCTGAATCAACGACACTCCCACTAAAATCTTAACCTTAAGAAGATGGTACTCTTTGATGTCTTCCCGTTAATGAAGGAGTCTGTATCATTCTGATTAAATGTGTCTCAAAGAGCAAAGGCAGATATTAAGCCTTATCTCTTATTTGCTAATGCAAAGCTTTCTACTACATTGCAGGAAGCCTGCAGGTTTGGTGCGTCTTTCCTTTGTGTTAAATGTTTAAGCCATCTTATTCAGTGAATCCATACCAGATTCACGCTTTGTTACGTTTAATATCTACAACGAAGAAGGCACTTCCAGTATTCACTAGTGTGTTCTAATGATCTAGTAGAGGAGTGTTCTGACTGCCCATCTACACAAAGGCCACGCTATCTCTTATTTAAGATTTGAAATTTCTCATACGCTAGAGCTTCGGCTATTCCTTCATCCTCTGCAAATCGGCAAGATGTCTTCAGAACACGGTACTCTGTCCCCCACAACCTCTGGCTACGATGATGTCCTTCCGCAGGCTAAGCCCCTGGACGATCTCGCTGTTCAGATGAATCACCTAGCCCTGAGCCCCCAAGAGCAGCGCCAGGACGAGGTCCTCTCCAGCCCTCTTCTGACCGTCCCCCTCATCGACAGATCGCCTCCCTCTCAATTCGGCCTCTTCGGCGCTGCCACCTCGGAAGATTCATCCTGCGTGGCAGAAGCTCGTCTCTTCCACAACGTCACATGCCCCTCGAGCGTCTTCATCTGCGGCAGCCAGGGCTCTGGGAAGAGCAACACGCTCGCGTGCCTCCTTGAGAACTGCCTCATTCCCAGTCAGCTTGGCAAGTTGCCTTATCCCCTGACGGGAATCGTCTTCCATTACGACAGCTTCGTCTCCGACTCTGGCGGATTGCCATGTGAGGCTGCGTTCATCGCATCCCACGAGAAGGTGTCAGTCAGAGTTCTCTGTGCCCCGACGAATGTCCGCACAATTCGGGTATTCCACTGTTCTGAATTTCCCATGATTTACTTTACATGATTCTAACAACTCACAGAGTATCTACAGCAGCATTCCGAATGTCAAGATCGAGCCCCTGAAGCTGAGTGACGACGACCTCAACACTCGCCGCATGAACGACCTCATGGCTGTGGGGGAAAGCGGCTCTAAGCCGTTGTATATGCAGGTGGTCAACCGCATCCTGCGAGACATGCGTTTAGAGCAGCAAAATACCGGACTCGGCTTCAGCTATGACAAGTTCAGAAAGTATTTGGCCTTAGAGGACCTGACCCCAGGCCAGCTAAACCCTTTGAACCAGCGCCTCGATACTCTTGAAAGTTTCATGGTTAAGGGAGGTGGTTTCGTAGATGATACGATTGATTGGAAGCCTAAGGTAACATCTTCTTTTTTTCTATGACAACCTTAAGGGTTAAGCTGACTATTTGAATCACAGTCGGGTCAACTGACGGTTATCGACCTCTCCTGCCCTTGCGTGACGGCAGAGCTGGCTTGCTCTCTCTTCAACATGTGCCTTTCCCTCTTCCTCGAGCAAAAGTCATCCATCGGCCGCGTCGTTGCCCTCGATGAAGCTCACAAGTATATGAAGGAGTCCGAGGAAAGCCAGACATTGACCAACTCCCTTCTTGAGACCATCCGCCTTCAGCGTCATCTCGGCGTCCGTATCCTTATCTCAACCCAAGAACCTATGGTTTCGACAAAACTCCTCGACCTATGTTCCATGACGGTCGTGCATCGTTTCACCTCTCCTGACTGGCTGCGCACACTGAAAACCCACCTGGCGGGTATCTCATCGATGTCAGTTATGATGGCTGACGAAGAGGATGAGACCCAGGCAGTGAATCCGGTCACTATCGGAGGCAAGGACCCGATGATGGAGATTTTCTCCATGATTCTTTCGCTGCAAACGGGACAAGCTCTTGTCTTTGCACCGAGTGTGGTGCTTGGCCCGCAGGAAATGGTTAAGGATGGACAGACTGTGCTTCAGCGACTGGCTCATCGAGCTCTACGAGTCAAGATTCGGTCTCGACTGACCAGGGATGGAGGAAGAACTGTGATGGCTTGAATAATTTCAGGTTGGTGGGATAACCTTATGGTTGTTTGTGGATGTGATGTTAGGCCGAGTATGAACTAGACCGAGCTGGACAAACACGGTCTGGCAATGCCGTTGATAAAAACAGCTGCAATTGGATCCACAACAAGAAGTGTGTATTGGACCAGTTTCAGTGGGTCCCAACGTGTGAATCAATTGACTGAGTGGCGTACTGCGGTACAGCGCCCAGGGGCAGTTGATGTTGGAGCAAGATGCGTCATGAGGTTCTGGCCCGTTGGGGTCGCAGTCACATCGCCGGTCGCCGCCATCCTCATCTTGCTCGCCCTACTGCTATCTCCCGTCCTAGCAACCCTCAAGATCTGCAGTGCCGTCAATGCCCTGCGCGTCATAGAGCCCAGCGAGCTGGATTCAGCACCCATACCACCAGATCTATATTTCCCACCGTTGGATGCCGACATGCTGCGCGCCCCTCTGTCAAGTTACAAGAAACAGTTTTACGGGCAGGACAAAAGGTTCGGGCGCCATTACGGGAGGCTGCTGCTCACGGGAATAAAAGATCATGGAGAATTGTTCAGGCAAGCTGAATGGTTACCGATGTACTTTTGGATAACGCCGCAAGAAACAAATTCTTATAGCAGCTACAACCAACAAATGGGTACAAGATTGGATGAGTAGCGAAGGTCAGGCCTTGGAGGCCAGCGGTGTGTGTGTGCGCGTTTTTGTTTGGCGGCTGGCTGGGAGGCGTGAGAGACAATATCTGCAAGGTTCCGCGTGAGATGGGAGGTCCAGACGGCGGCCAAGAGCACCCATTCATCTTCTGTCAACAACAACCTTCACGTCTCAGATTCAAATGTCTCGGTCTGCGCCGTCGGCCGTTTGAAGGGGCGTGATGCAACCCACCGGCGGCTTGCGGGACAGCGCGGAAACGACGGAGGTTCCTACGGGTCGAAAGCACCAGGCAACAGCGGACGAAGCGCGGTGGCCTCAGGCCAACACTGCCGCTCTACCTCCCGGGATATGTTCCGTCCGCGTATTGCAAGACCACAACGATCAAGGTGTAAACCCACAGTATGGTAGCGGGACGACAAAAGCACGCCATATTCAGGCCCCGAAGCAATCACATATAATGGGGAAGCTCAGGAGTCGTGTCATCACGGTCAAGTCCAATGAGAGTTGTTCCTTGGGCTGGCATGACAAGGACGGCCGGTTAAGCAGTTGGTAGGCCAAGGGAGGGTTCCGGGCATGGGCTACCTGTGTATCGCTATACTCGATCCGACATACGGTAATCCCTGGCAGCCTATGTATCTGCTATGCCGTCTCAGATGAAAATCCAGCCACGTATCACTGCCAATAGTAGGCGCACCGTCACTGGCGCTTGCTGACAGTTGGCTGCCGCAGTTTACCCGAAAGACAGGACGACAACGATTGTTCGGGATGCTAGAGCATCATGATCCCGGTCATCACATCATCTACCGCTTGCGAAGTAGATCTTTGTGGGTACTGCCGGCAGCTCTTTCCGAAGACTAATCAACCGCAAGCTGTTTAGGGGCCGAAGTACGCATGTGCCATCAGATCAAGTTGAGTCTAGAACCGGGCTCCTGAACAGGACTGCTGCGGGCCGGAAATACACAGGAGAGTCATCAACGGCAGACGTCCAGAGAGAACAGCGTCTTGCAGACGGTGGATTTCTCCGTTTGCTCGTGGTCACTTCAACGCGAGCACAGTGCCAGCCAGAGCGGGTAAGATTAGCGTCAATCGGCGCTGATATTCGATATTAGAGAGAGGATGTCGGCACCCGCCGCGGGGGAACGGATACGGAAGGGATGACGAGGGAAGCAGATCCAAAGCCAAGAGAAAAAAGAACGCCTAGGAGATCCTCTCGACCCAGCTCTTTTTGTCTGTTATTTTTGGGGCGGGGAGGATGGTCCTCTCTGTTGTGCCGTGGTAGCGCTGTACCCTCAAGATCTTCCTAGCGAGTTGCAGAAGCGGGTGATTGTCAATATGTGTCTCCTAATGCCCGATACCGGAGAAGGAGCACGCCAGGCCACAAAGCGGGGGCTTGCACGCCGCAACCGCCAGCACCATTCCAGAATCAATCCTCCTTGACATCTTGTCCTGAGGGAGGGTTAGAGAGAAGGAGGTGTAATTCAGCTACAGCCTCCGAAAAATTCTCTTCAAAGTGATCAAGACTTGCTTTCATCTTTCACCGATTGGCGTTATAATTGCTGGGCAGGTTCTGCTTCATGATTACGAAGTGGCTGATGATGCTGTCGCCGATATCATTCATTTGTAACTGTCTCGCAACAAAAGCCAGGCTTCGATGAGCTGCAGACGGAGTAGTCCTGGGGAGTACACATATGGGCGGCTGTGAGGGGGTCCGGGCCCGACTTCTGCCACTCAGCCGTTAACACTAATGTTTGAATTCAGCGGCTCTGCGGCCCCGGTTTACCAAAACGAGTCTCGTAAATTAAGCTCCACCGCCTCGGACAGGCCAGGGACGTTGCAGGCGGGTCAGTTCTAATTAGTGAGTCTACACCTCCTCCGGGATTTCACTTGTTAGTTTGGACAAGGTCCCACTGTTAACGTGACCAGAACATTTGCGTGCTGACATAAACAGTGGCCCCCTTGCCGAATGTTGGGCAACAGCATGGCCAGTGATCATGGTACGATCTTCGATTAATGTATATTGATGTCTTTGTTCTAACTAACTGGCCACGTTGGCGTCAATTTAAGTAGAACAAAAGAGGCCATCATGGTGCCAATTCAAATAAGCCATATTACATGTGAAAATCAATAATCCGAGTTTTCTGGTCAGTGCATACACTGGTTACGCAGTGCGGGTCTGACACCGAACTAACAATTAAAACCCCGGAGGAGGTGTACGACTACGGTAGCCTTGTCAACAAGAAAGGCGGTGCCAACCAACACCGCGGTCTGTGCAAGAGAACTCCATCCTATCCGTCTAGCCCAGCCATCATAAGAGGTACTGTCAGTGCCTTTTCTTGGCTTTGCCTTGCCGACGGGAGTACTGTGGGTCCTGGGGCCGTGTTAGTGTCAAGTTCCCGCTGGAAAAGTCGGTGGATGGCGTTGACCATGTTGATCTGTATCCCGAAAATGGTATCCAACGCACGCAGTGATGAGACGTTGTCCTTTCTATGTGGTTAGATGATAGTCATGCAGAATATTCTGTTTGTATGCCCCTAGGCAGGGAGAAACGAGACCTGGATACTTGCAGACGACCGCCGTTTATCTCGTCACAACCAGAGAACAGCGGGCTGTGAACGTGCAATCAGACAGGCCAGTACCATCCTGTTTCGGTTCGAAGTCAAACGGCCTCTCTGATGTAAGTGTCAGCTTGACTTGTGTTTTATTTCAAATATCACACATGAATAAAAGAAGATATATCACTGAGAATGTCCCCAAGCTGTCCTTTCCCCCTCACCTTGAATCAGCGTGATTCTCTTCTCTCTGCTGACTTGAGATTTCCTCCCAGTATCACCCAGCTCTCACACCTTCCACCATGCTACCCGGTGAGACTGGTTTGGGAAACCAGGCCACATTGGCTAAAATTGACAAGTTGAGGGAGCTGAACGTCGGCGCTATAATCCCGTTGCCCCAGGTAAATCAAGGGAGTACATCACTCTGCAGATTGCTAATTCTGCAATAGCTTGTCGTCGTTGGAGACCAGTCATCTGGAAAGAGTTCTGTTCTGGAGAGTCTGACGGGTTTTTCTTTCCCTCGCGCTGCTGGGCTCTGTACTCGCTATGTGACTCAGATAACGTGCCGCCGTGGGCCGGAGAAGGGCATTATCGTCTCAATCATTCCTCGTCCGGACGCAGATGAGACACTCAAGGCCAAGCTCCTTCAGTTCAAGCGTCACTTGTTAAGTATCGACGGTAGAGATCTCGCCAGCGTCTTCGAAGAGGTTTGCAACACCCCGACATATTTGGTTTTCCGTACTGATGACATTACTGCAGACCAACATTGCTATGGGCATCCGGATGGGTGCGGATGAGAAAGATGTTGGTAGTGCGGCCTTCAGTCAAGATATCCTCAAGATTGAGATCAGTGGACCTGATGTTAGTTCTTCCCCGGCCACGTGGCTCTCTACATGACTAACACCTCTTGAATAGCAACAACATCTCACTGTCATTGATGTTCCGGGCATTTTCCGTGTCTCTACACCAGGTAGGCTATAGCTAATTCACTGAGAGTGTGCACTTAGTAATTAGCGAAACACGCAGGGCTTACTACGGAAAGCGACATTGTTCTCGTCGAGAATATGGTGAAGTCATACATGGAAAATCCACGAACCATGTGAGTGTTTTAAAACTGCTGTCTGTAAACTCGTTTAGCTGACGTATAGTAGCATTCTTGCAGTCATTTCTTGCACCGTCGACATTGCCACCCAGGAGATTCTCAAGCTTGCTGAGGCTGCTGATCCTGAGAAAGTGCGAACGATGGGTATGCTCACAAAACCGGATCTCGTCACAGAGACGGCCACCAGAGGCGTCATCATTGACCTGGTTCTTGGGAGACGAAGCACCCTCAAACTTGGATACTACGTGGTCAAGAATCGCAGTGCAGATGATAACTTCTCGACACTTTCTGAGCGTGCTGCCGCCGAACAGGCATTCTTCATGGCGCCTGCTTGGTCGCCCATTAGCGATCGCTGCGGCACCACAGCCCTCAAGCTCAAAGTCCGTGAGTTGCTCATGCACATCTCCAAGCAAGAGTTTCCCCATGTCAAGGCGGACATTGAGCAGCGCCTGCGTCAATGTAGGGCTGATCTGGAGACCATGGGGCCGTCCAGAGCCGACTCGAATTCCCAGAGGATGTATTTGGGGAAACTTGCCTCGAGGTTCCTAGCCATTACTCAAGCTGCCCTGAACGGGTACTACGCCGGAGACAGCATCTTCAAGAGGCAGCCGAACCTGAAGCTGATTACGAAGATCATGAAGCTGAACGAGGTCTTTTCTAATGTTTTCTGGAAGAGAGGCCACAAACAGCACTTTGGACCTACGTGGGATGACGAGGGAGAGAGCTCGTTGGGGAGCAATGTGGACCAGCTGCCTTTCGGAATCCCTCTCAGCGAATATCCCGAGCTTAAGGCTATTATCCGCACAGATGACTACCGATGCCCTAAGCCCTCGAAGGGGCCGATTATGGGCCACATCGAGGAGGTGTTCGAGTCGAACCGCGGGCCTGAGCTTGGAACAGTAAGTTTTCCCCGCTATACATTGCTGCAGAAAGTCATTAACATGATTGATTTAGTTTGGCGGAACAATCCTTGCTACAGTCTTCGAAGAGCAGTCAGAGAAGTGGGAGCCGCTCGTATTGTCTCATGTGAGCAACACAATCGCACTTGTCCACGAGTACATCTTCCAGCTCCTCACTGAGATGTGCCCCGAGAAGCAGGTTCGAGACAACCTTTGGGATGCTCTTCTGCTCGACAAGTTGATTGATACGTACCAACGAGCGATGAGCCACACTCGCTTTCTTCTGGCCATCGAGCGTGGAGGCACGCCGAACACATTCAACCACTACTTCAATGCGAACCTCCAGAAAAAGCGTAGCGATTGTATGTCCAAGACCTTCGAAGCTATGGCAGTCTCTTCTCCTTGGGGCAACGACAACGAGCGATACGTTGCTATGAGTCAGATTGGCAAGCATGCTGTTGGCAAAGATAATGGGCAGCAGGTGTGTGAGGACATCCTTGATACGCTTATGAGTTACTACAAGGTATCCCGGAAGCGCTTCGTCGACGTCATCTGCCAGCAGGTCGTTTTTCACCTCATGCTTGAAGGCGACGGCAGCCCGCTCAAGGTCTTTAACCCGGAGCTGATCATGAACCTTGACACCGAACAGCTTGAGCAGATTGCAGGTGAGGATGCGGAGTCGAAGCATCAGCGGCACGTCTTGAAGCGGGAGATGGAGAGTCTGGAGGCGGCTTTGAAGGTCTTGCGGTCTTGATTTTGTAACGGATAGTGCAGCTAATGGGTAGTGCGGCTAATGGGTAGTGCGGCTAATGGTAGTGCAGCGGGGCTGGAGCGAAGCTGTTCAACATAGCAGAGCAGATATTCTGAGCAGCAGCATTCAACTGCATGCTGACTCATCAAAAGTGTATTTGTCGTTGTTGTATTTAGACACAGTCTTTACTTATTCACTGAAAAAAGAGCATCAGGCAGGTGAACTTTACTTGCAGTAGATCATTAGGTTGAATGGGACTGATGCTTGAATACAAGATCTGCGTGCGAGCAGCCAAAACTTGGGGTTTCCACTTGCCACGGGAAGCTAGACACTATGCAGTCAAAGATAGGCTCATTTTCGCCATTAATACAGTTTAACTTATGTATCTAAATAGCAGCTTCTCCATTCTCTTTATATATGAACCATTTAGATAATCCTAGAACTTCATCTTCTTAAAGTTCCCCAAGCCCACACACTATTAACTCTTTTATGTCTGAACGACTAAAAATAGAGTTATTACGTCATCTTCACTACTCTTTTGTCCTTGATTCTATCTTCCTGGGTATTCTCCAGCCAGTACTTCAACTTGCGCTCCTCATCCATTGTGGGGTAACCCTGAGGTAAAAACATGCGTTCATTTCCATCCTGGTCGCCCATGCGCCGGAATTCCTGCAGGTCTCCCTGAATCAGCCAAACTAGCTCCGACCGACGCATGATGGTAGGTGTATCGCGTGGAAGGGGAAGAACAACGATCAGTTAAAGAAAGGTAAGAAACTGGTATGTAAGTGGAAAGGAGAGATGCCTGACGGAGAGGAGGAAGCCGTGGTATTTATAGACACTGATCAGTCTTCGAACGCTATATAATGGTGTAGAAGGCCTACTTACAAAGCATTGCATCAATAATGAGGCTACATAGCATAGTTGATTGGACGATTTTGCGTCATGATGTATGGCAGTGTGTGGTACATATGCGGTATGGGACATGTGACTATTTGGAAGGTGAGTCACAGTTAAAACAGTCGTATTCTGGCCTATAAGATTCTGCTGTTTACTAGTTGGGCGAAGGTAATGGAAGATGGAGGGTGGGATTGGGCCTCAGTATGAACAAAGACGCGTCCTGGTGACTACGCGATTTGCCTGGTCATGAGAATGAGACACGATCTCACGTGACCGCGCGAGAATTAAGAGAACGGATGACTAATTCGATGGTATGCTGTTACTTAGGGGCCAAGAGCCAAGAGTGATTACATGAGCTTTGTGAGATTGGTTCAATTAAGGGATGTAACCTCTCTCACCCAGATGCGTTTTTAATTTCTCTGCTTTTTTATCTAAGCAGAATCAGAGAGGGAGTGCCCACCTTCTGGACACTTACCTAAGCGCTCAAGTTCTGCCTCTAGTCCATTTTGAAGCCGACCAGGACACTGAGGAGGAGCAGATTGGCAATTATGGAGTTCACTTCTACCTCTTCTTTCAGGTCCGGGCCCCTGCGATACGTAGACATGCCCAAGTAGTGACGTTAGGGAGGGGTTGAGTGCATCGCAACAGGATAGAGGAAACTATCATTATGAGCACAGCATCTTAGCGTGTCTAAATCAGAGTAAGATGTCTGAATTCATACCTGTTTCCGAACTCTTAACTAAATCGTAAAGTTTGCAGATGTCCAGCTGCTGAAGGTGAGAAATGCGAGGCTTTTAACTGGTACGACCATGCGGACATCATGCGCCCGCTTATACCCATCTGGAGGTTTCAGTGGTTACAATTCGCAAGGCAGTCAGGGTCAGAAGTGATAGGATTAAGAAGATATAGCAATATTTTCGAGGTTACATAAAGAAAAGGTTGATACTGAGGAAAAGTTTATTGATCCCGGCTGTCCTGTTGAAAACGGATCCGAAGAAGAGACGCGGGAAGAAGGAAACGTAGCAAGTTGCAGCGCAGACGAGACAGGATCTTCTGGGACGGGAAAGTGCAACTCAAGAAGGCACCGCATTTCCGTAATAACAGCGAAGTCGAGGGTTCTTTGGACGATTGGCTGCAGCTTGTTAGTGGCTTATTGCAGGCACATCATGATAGGTGGACTCTGTCCTCCTCTCCTTTAGCCTCTTGTACAACCTACCACCATTCATTCTACGTTTGTTGTTTGGTGGAAGGGAGGGATGAGGATACTGCCAGAAGGCTGCCAGAATGGGACCAGATTCGTGGGGTGGGAAGAGACATAGCGTGAGCGGGCGGCGGGCCTGCTCAGCGTATTTGCATGAGATGGGGGTAGGGACAGCTAGTTGTTGTTACGAGGATGAGAAAAAGATAATTAGGTTTGTACACAGAATGCTTACAGTATAAACCTGGAATGTGGCCTTTTGTTCAGTCCACAACAATACATCATTTTCTTGGAGCGCAAATTGGCTGGTTTTTAGCTGTATTTGTCTATGTCACGGTAATCCTATCTGCGATGCAAGTGGCGTTGCTACAGAGCGGTTTGGACAGGATATGCGCTTCTAGAAGATCTCTTACGGAGTAGCATTAATATCAATAGGATTTGTCGTAGCTAGTGCTCTTCATCTTCCCTATGGCTGCAACGGTCTGATACGACAAAAAGGCTAGCTCCTAGCACCTTACCAAATCGGATATTCAGCGGGTGCAAGATGGATGTCGGGTACTGGCCCAGCAAAAGATATGCAACGCGAGCGGTTTTGCTTGCATGCAAACCTGAGTATCATTTCATCATCTAGGCGCCCCGCCGCCTCTGTTGACACGATTCAAAGTCCTGTTTTCGTTAGCGTTTATATTATATACGTTTGGATAACATTACCTTCACAGAATCAAAGAATCTCGCAATAGCTTTACCGCCCCCGAGCTCTTCTACTCTACCACGGTTAACCCGCGCTGTGACAAGTCTTGCTACCGCTTGAACGTAGGTAGGTGCACTACGGTTAATGTCTTCGTTGGTGACGGTTGGATTCCGTACTTCTTCGATGACAATTTGCAGCCATCGTTCAACAGACGACCACAGGAGGATGTGGCCGCCAAGGGCTAGAGTTTGCTCACCACGTGCCCGGAAAACAAGGTGAATTGTGCCCGAATCAAAGAAAACCGTCTGGCCAGGCCTGAGAATAACATATCGCCACCAGCCCCCGGTATAGCCTTGAGGGTCAACCGTCCAGTCATTCCATTCTTGACGCGTTGGGCGTGACATCCAACCAAAGCCAATATATCCTTCTTGGGCGGTGATCCACGTCCCAAGACCGTGGCTGTCAATATGTGGCGCTGTGTTGTGGCCACCTTCTGATAGAAGCACCCATTCAAGAACGTCTCTCCACTCGTTCCATTGTTCCCCTGACGCAACTGCCCTCTCCGCACGTCTCCCAGTGAGCACTGTGTCTCGGACGCGAGGGAGAAGCTGACAGTTTTCCCCAGTCAAGAAGGTGGGCAAAATAGAGGGAGGGAGTGGACTGCGCAGGTCAAGAATATTCCAGGGATCATCGGTATCTAGCTTGTTCAGAAACCGGTCTCTGACCTGACTGAGTTTCCGGCTTTCGAATGACCTGAGCGAGGAACTTCGAGAGGGCACCTGCACCGAGACAGATCGGTCAAGGTCTTCCATACGGCGGAAGAGCTCCTCAATTGGCCGGTCTCGACCATTCCATCGGAACTGCTGCTGGCTTTCTGTAAAAATTGGGACGTCTGAAGATCCTGACTCAACTCGCCTTGTCGCTTCGCCCGCAGTACAGAAAATCGCATCAGCTTCGCCACAACTCTCGTCCGTTTGAGGTTGCTGGGCGTTTTGGAGAATTTTGTAGACTAGTTTGTCGGATTCTTCGCCGTGGGTGTTGAGGAATGACTTGCTTCGCGCCAACCTTTCCTGTAACCCCGCGAGCACTTGCATGCAGTAGGCCTCGTCAGCTATCTGATTGTGCAGTGGCCGGTGCCCCGTGTCTCTTGACCCGGTCCAGTGTGTGTGTGAGCCACCAAGTCGCGGTCTCTTAAGGAGAGGAACAGGCTGGTTGATATCAGGGAGGGAGGCGGTGCGTCGTCGAGGGGGTAAGGTTTGTGGGACATCAGAGGGATTGGCCAGTGGCGTTACGTTCGAGTTGTATTGATCCCCCACGGAATTGCCCGCCTTGAGATCGGGGGCTATTACGGACTTGGCGAAGAGCTGAAGATGTCGGTGACACAGTTGATCGAGGTTGGACGAGTATATCCTCGCCAGGTCCGTGGAGAAGACTAAGGGGTTGTCAAGAGCTGCAAGGAACATTGATGGCACTTCTGGCGGACAGCAGCGTTGTGGTATCCTTGGGGTAGTAGCTGATCTGGCGGTAGCGTATCTATTCCTCGACGTTGGTTTTCCACTGAACCTTTCTCGATAGGATGGCTGTGTCCGTGGCCTGAGCGTTCTCTCGGTTTGTGATGGATTCTCCTGTGTAGCTGCTGCTGCTGCCGCCACCTCCAGGTTACTGGTATTTGCTGAGGCATCGGCTGATTGTTCAGCAAGGAACTCGTCAACAAACTCGCTCAAAATGTCGCCCTCTGTGGTAGCTTCCGGCGCGTGTGAAGAATCCATATCGTCTTTGGCTGATGCGACAGCATACTCCTTTCCAACCATGAGTCCAAATTTGTCAAATCCAAACCCCTGGGGCAGGTCTGTAATTGTCAGCTCTTCGAATGGAAGGGAATATCGATCACAGCCGTTCTGTCTCATGTAGGCCTGTTTGTATGACCATGCTTTGAGAGTGTCCAGATCTCCCTGCTCGATCGGATTCGCTGCCAGTTTAACGAGACGAGCCCCAACACGTTGGTGTCGTCCAAGCATCACCCGGTTCAATTTTATCGCAGCCTCGGCCCATTCGGGAACGGCTCGGGCTGCCGTGCGCAGCACCTTGCAGTACTTCTCTCCTCTGGAAGCCCAATGATAGTGCTGGACCTTGTCTATTCCCCAGCAACGGCTCACCTCCGTCAGAGCCGACAGACAACTGCGCTTGATCTCCATTCCTTCGGTCGCGACGCCTACG